ATCACTGCCAAAGCAACGCTTAATTTGGGTATTTCGGACGTGCCAAGTTTGGCTTTTCTCTGGTGCACCACAGTTCTGCCAAAGGAAGTGCCAGACTTGAGCCATAACTGCCGCAGTAAATCTTAATTTGTCAATTTCGGGGCATGCCAAAGTTTGGCTCTTCGCTGCTACCCACTGAAGTGCTAAATAAGTGCCACAAAGAAAGCCGAGAGGCCTGCCCAAGTTTGGAATATCTCTGGTGTGTCACAGATGTGCCCTTTCACGCGCCCCAGAACAGAATTGGATTAAATAAGCGTTGGAAACACAATGGTCAGATGTCATCACATCCGTTCCCAAGCAGCACAGCAATACTTTGGAGTATCGTGCCAGTAGCGGCCGAAAGTCGGTTCCAATATCGCTCAAATGTCCAGTTTTGCACCACCGTTTGATATACGGCAGCTATTGCCGTACAGCCGTTTTGCCCGGCTTAGCGTTCGCGCAATATTGTGCAAATACTCGACGACGCGTCTGTTCCGTATTGTCCGAACTTCATGCAAGCATGTGTACGTTGCATATAATTTGTTGCATACTCAATCACATATACGGACAAACAAAATTTTTTCGATTGCTCCCAGAAGTTTTCTGGGAACCACTATCATTACACACAGTGTATTCTCGACATATTTACAAAGGTCACACTTTTCTGTAAAACCAAAAGCAAACAATGATATAGAATTCAGTTCAGTTCAGTTCAGTTCAGTTTATTTTACCTCAAAGGCATTTCAAATGAAATGCATTACATGAGGGGGGATCAAAATGACATATACAGATGGCAAAAAAGTGACGACAAGGTAAATAATACGAAAACGCAAAAAGAAAACAAAAGAACTACAAACTAATTGGACAGATATCAGAACATAACATGTATAAAAATAATTAGCAGATAAACATGTTAAGGATCAACGCTTTTCAGGTGTGCCTTGCATAGTTCACGGAATGTCTTAGGGTTAGATTCACGTACTATGGATTCAGGAAGGGAATTCCAGTTAGTAACAGCGAGAGAAAATGGGGAATTTTGGAATTTATTTGTTCTGGCGAATAGAGGTTTAATTTTTAGGCTGTGGTCATGACGCAAGGAGATGTGAGGTGATGGGTGACAGTTGGTGTTTCGAAAATCAGAAGAGGAATAGAAAGTTTTGTGAAAAAGGACAAGACGAGCAAGTTGAGATCTTTGAGATAGAGGGCATAGGTGGAGGTTGAATTTTAGTGCAGTTACACTTGACGTTCGCGAGTAGTCGTGTGTTATAAAACGTGAGGCCTTGTTTTGCACCGATTCGAGTTTAGTAATTAGATATGATTGATGAGGCCACCAAATAAAGTTGGCGTAGTCCAATTTTGATCGGACGAAAGTCTTATAGGCAGTTAGTTTAACACAACGGGGAGTGGGGTGTAGGTTACGTTTGACACTGTCGTCATCATGCCGAGCAAACCTTATCACACATAAAACCGCGGAGATTGAGAGGTAAGCAGGACTACGATCAGAAGCATGCTTGCAGTGTACTTACAACTAAAAGAGCGATATCATGTAATCTTTGATAGATGCATAATCCAACTCAGGCACCCCAGAAACACACTAAAAAAATGTTGCGCAGATTCAACTGACGTCTCGTCGTCGGCGAAGAGCAGTTTTTGTCGAAGCGTGTCCAACAAACACAGCAAAAAAATTCCAGGAACTCCGGTGAAAAAAATGGCTGTTACCAAAAAATAGGCATGGACGTATTCCTGCCGTTTCCGACGAAAAACCACGGCCGCGTCTGCAACGCACGAAAGCAAAAGAACACTGAAGAGCGCATTTCGAAAACCGGACCTACGTGGCCCGCCTATTTCTATAACCAGGCAAACGGCGAAGAGAACAGCCACAGAGATCCGATCAGCGTGACACAGAGAGTCACCTGACAAATTTTCGTCCAAAGGTGTTGTGCTGCGCGTCCTAAGTAGAGAGGTCACGCCGGGTCACGCGTTTAGATTGTTTAGATAAGAAGGACAGAGAAGCAAATCGGTGTGGCCATGGCTGCTGCCGTCGGTTGGAACAGCGCGTGCCCTTTTTTATTCGCACGTGAAGCCAGCCCCCCGTGCTGCTTGGTCGTGTTAGGCCAATGGCCGATACACGCCTCATCCTTTTGATTTGCTTAAAGCGGCTGTCGAGCTCGCTGACAACCACACGAAGAAAGAAAAGCAGGTGAAGAGAATTTGCAAAAGGCGAGGTCGAAGGGGCATCAACAACACATGAAATGAAAGGCCGCTTCTGCCGGCGTCCTTTTCGCTTTGCCTAGTTTGTCAGCGTTCGGCTTCCATTGTGGGCCTCAGAAAGGTAATCTCCTTTCTTGAGAGCGAAATGGAAGTGGCGCTTATGTTTTGCGGGCTTGTCGCCATCCGATAGGCCTCAATTATTTCTCTCCCGACTCGCTCGCGGTGGCCTCCCATGGCTGTCGTGCCGGCGAAATTAGGAGCGCAGCCGGGACAGTTTCTCCCGTGAATGACGATCGGGTGCTAAGAATCTGAAGCAGCTCTTTCGGCGTCCATTTGATGTTCTTGGAGTCGGTCGTTGAGTGAACGCCCCGTTTGCCCGATGTACCTAGCCCCACAGGACAGGGGGGTCGCGTACACTTCCTGCGCTTCCTCTCCTTCACCAAGATTTTGATTTCCGGTACTCCCAAGGAGCAGGCGGGCTTTGAGCTTGAAGCCAAAAATAAATGTTGAAGTTGAAAGATTGTCCTGTCTGTATTGTCCCTTTTGCGTCTCCACTTTCTAAATGTTTAAAGGTACCAACATGCTAAAATAGTACTAGTACCGTGATTTCATTTTCATTCCCCAAGTGTAATGCGGGAGCCGTGACACGGAGCCCCGGTCGTTTCCGCTCTTTGTTCTCGCCAGGATTGGACAGTGCCTAATCACAACGCAAAACACGCACAGAGCCACGCTCGCTTTTGGAATGCGCCGTCTAATAATGGTATATGTTGAGGAGACGTGCGCACATCAGTCTTGCCCAGTGCTAGCTCGATGGCAGCACTTTCTGTAAAGGCGCATTAACACCCGGGATATAAGCAGTCGCGCGATGCAACTAAATCGCATCGCTAAAAAAAAAAAGTAATTAGATGGTCAATCTTGTGTGCGCGATGAGCGAGTCGAACGCCTTTGTTGATGAGTCGCTTCTCACAAACTCTCGCTCCGAACGCCGTTGATTGGCTCAGCCTCTCTGCGACTAGATCGCATCGCAAAAAGTCAAATCAGCAAGCGACTGCTCAAATCTCGTCGCTTTCCGCCCGCGATGGTCGCTTTTGCGATGAAAGTTATCGCGCGACTAGATCACATCGCCGGTGTGAACGCGCCCAAACCAGTCTTACGGCGCGTTCCGATATTGCCGTGTGTACCTACGCACTAGTACAACATCCGGCAAAATTTGCGTTTGCAAAGCCTGGTCCAGCCGCCTCGAAACATTCAGATAACCTTTGGACTGGAGAAATCAAGAGACGCCCAAAATAAGATAAAGTGGCAAGCCGACTAAAACATGATTTATATTTAATTAAGATGAAGACCACCCGCGTACATCAAATGCATCATCAGAAGCCTAGTTCTGGCACTTGTTTGGCAACTTTGGCCAGTAGCTGTCAAATGACAGCCGAACTATCGGGAAGCGAATCCTAACTTTGGCACTTGTTTGGCGACTTTGGCCCGTAGCTGCCAGATGACAGCGGAACTATCGGGAAGCGAAGCCTAACTTTGGCATTCGTTTGGCGACTTGGGCCCAAAGATGCCAGATGTCAACCGAAGTACAAGGTAGTAAGCCTAACTCTGGCACATCTCTGGCGATTTTGGCCCAAAGGTGCCAGATGACAGCCGAACTATCAAAAAGTGGAGCCTAACTTTGGCATTAGTTTGGCGATTTCGGCCCAAAAATGCCAAATATCTGCCGAACTACCGGGCAGTAAGCCTAACTCTCGCATTTGTTAGGCGATTTAGGCCCAAAGATGCCAGGTGACAGCCGAACGACCAGGCAGTGAAGCCAAAGTTTGGCACTTGTTTGGCGAATTAGGGCCAAAATACCCTGTCTATTGCCAAGGGAGGTCAGGTTTGGCTCTACTTTGGCTTTTGCGGGCTTCTCAATGCCCTTAACATCCAAAAAAAGACACGTTTTGGCCCAGAACTCGGTGCTCCCTGGGTGAAGCATAACTTTGGCATTTGTCTGACGGTTTTGGCTCAAAAATGCCAAATATCAGCCGAACTACCGGGCAGTAAGCCTAACTCTGGCATTTAGGCCCAAAGATGCTTGACCAGGCAGTGAAGCCTAAGTTTGGCAGCTGTTCACCAAATTTGGGCCAAACTACGCAGACTCTTGTCAAGGAAGGGCAGGTTTGGCTTTACTTGGCTTCTTCGGGCTTTTCAATGCGCGAAACTCTCAGACAAAAGCCGAATTTTGGCACAGAACTCTGTGCTACCTGGGTCATATTTTTTTGTTTTTGTTTTTTTACTGCGTCAGGCTAAGAGGGATCCTTAGTGTCAACCACTGGATTATCACATGCAATGTCGAATAAATAATTTCAAAATTGTCGTGCCACGTTTTTTTAAGAATAACTAAAGTTATATTTCAATAACAATAACCTTCCGACTGGAGTTCATCGACTTTGGCGGCACACGCTTACAATATACCTTGGGTTATGCCCCTTTTCTTTTCCTAAATGTTTTTGAACCTCATCGTTTAACAGGCTCAATTTGTAACTGCATGTTTCTGGTATATGTAAAGCCTGGTCATTGCATTCGCCCTTCAAACAGAAAGGGTTTTTGCACGCAAGACACGTGTGTGACAATAATATTTTTTTTTATTACGAGGACAATAGCTATTGTGCTCTAGCAGCTGGTTGACAGGTTCACTAAAAAAGAACAGAAGATCTAGCCTTAGGGACTGTATTGTTACAAACACCGAGCACTACACCCAGATATATACCGTGCCGGAACGTATTCGTATGTTTAAACCTGAAGAGATTATGATTGTCCTGTTCTTCTTGGGAATACTGTTCCTATCCCACAGCAATGGTATTTTGCCTGAAAAGACGAGAGGAGATTATCCTGACGCCAACGAGGCAAGAAAATACCATTCATCTTTGGTGAGGTATTGTTATTGTGGACACCTCCGTTCCCCCAAAAAATCGTCCATAGTGTGAGTTGTCCATAATAACGGGACAATTACGCATGCATTTTCCCAGTTTGTCCCCGAAAATTTTATACATATAGTGGGCTATCAACATTAACGGGGTTCATATTAACGGGACATGACTGTAACCCGTTTATAGCGACGTGATGAGCACAGAGTTTTTGTAGTAACTTGCACCGCAGTACATGAAGGTTCATATGTGCACATGTATGCCGTTCGTAGACTCACTTTGAATAGGAAGTCTCGCGTCGCAGGTTGCCGCTAAATTCACCGCAGCCTCATCACCGCGAACGTATGTGTAAACACATACTATGTTTTTGGGCGGGATTTTATGCGAAAAGTGTGACGCCCCAGTGTGACACACAATCGTTACATTCAGACCGAGGCAACAAAAAGGACACACCACCCGTAGTTGGCCATCCGTAACAATACAAAAAGAAGGCATTCTTAGTCGCGATAAATCCTTGGAACTCACGATTAGGCAAAAGTATAGCAACAAACGACATATACGAAGCGGCTCAGTGGGAATTGAACTCTGGACCATGCTTTCAAGAGGACGCATCTCGGAATGCAGCAGTGCAGCGAGGCGGAAAACAAACAAACAGGAACGCAGGCCGTTCCTCACCCAGAAAAGAGAGACGATTTGGCGTTATGGTTTGCCACAAGCGACCCGCTGGACTGCGCCTTTCCGCCAGCCGCCACACGCATACATGCAAACAGCTTTGAGTGAACACGACCGCGAATACAGCCACTTGGGTCAGTCATTAAACAGGAGTTTATCAAACTTCATCACTGGGATATATTTACCTTTGCGTCCTTTGGAACGCATTTTCCTTCTGCAGACTAACACGCATACGCTATGATTGCCGGCAATCTTGGGTCGGTTCACCTTCTTTAGCGCTGATGCAGATTTCATCCAGGGCTCTAAAAAAAGCGATGAGTTGGCGTTATAATCTGCCACACGCACCTTGCTGGACCGCTTCGTCCCTGATCGATTCTATGTGCTACGACCGCACCCATGTAAACCCAGATGCAATAATGCCTCATTAAATTAATTAGACCGTCGAATCAACCCTTCGAAATGCCTCGATTCACAATCTAAGCGTATTGAATCGAATCTAGCACCATCTCGTAGAAGGGGATGGTTTGATGTTTTCAAGGCGCATCAAGATCTCCATATAGACCATGTTGAATCCAATTAAGTGCTCACACGAGGAATAACTGGATTGTTCTGGTATGCCGAGAGGGCGTACAGAAGTACCAGCATGGCGGCCACTACGGAAGAAAGTGGCTGCATCCTTTTCAGCTTCAATGAATGTTGCCGAGAAGTCAAACAGAAATTAAGCGCAGCAGCCCTTGCAATCATTTTCGCTCCTCCGACGTGCTCCAAATAGTTCTAAAATTAAAAAAAAAATCCGCGACTGCCATTACGCCGGGAATACTAAACGATACACAGGTAACTTGGGTAGCTCTGTAGTTACTTAGAAGTTAACACGAGGTGCAGTTGGACAGGTTTTCGTTCGAGGCTTAACACATTAATAAAAAATATAAAATAGAATCCACACTGACTGTTGCCGTGAAACTCACTTGAGGTGAATAATACGGCCAGATAGACGTACTTTACCTGGCTAGGTGTCACAATAAGTCACTTAGGCCTACTTTAGACGGGGCGACTTTCCCAGCGATTTCTGTGTTGCTGGCGAGTTGTTTCCTAGCTCTTTATAGATCCTCGCGCTGCAACACCAATCGCTGGGATCGGGTTCGGCTCAAGAGGAACGAAAACTTGGACAACTCAGAGACGTTTGAAGCAGCAGAAGTCAACCAGGGACGCGATATCTTCACGTGACACACCTCTGGTAGTGATTGTCACAACTAAAGACTTGGATCAATTAGTTTAAAATGAATCGTTTTTGGGAACAAATACTTAAAAAAATGAGTGAGTATTTCTTCTCAACGCCATTTAATAACATAGCAACCCGCTTATAGCGCATACCTGTTTGTCTAAATAGTACAGTAAAATAAAAGTTAATGATTACACGGCAAATCGAATCAACAATTAAAAATGGTCTGTCTTCTCTAGATTTCAGACGCCCTTGAGCACTTAGGTCTTGCAGTGACGTATAATATTTTCAGCCGTTTGATGGGAAGGCTTGCGCTACTTTTTTGTTTGAACATTAATTACTTATGTATTATGAGCCGTCAGTGTTTTAGCATTCTAGGTCCCGGTCTTTTTTTGGAGGATAATTTATTTCGATTCCAGTCTCAGTCTGGTTGGAGATATCTATTTTTTTAAGGATTTCTGAGCTATATTTCAGATCTACAGACATAAATCATAATGGCCAAGATTCATTCAAGGTCAAGGCGCATGTATATGTCTGGCGGTAGCTCCTTCCCTTCCAGAAAGCAATATCCGAAGCTTATGTCTAAAATTGCATGAGTTGGTGAAGATTGTACACATCGTTCAGTTTTTATCAAAGTATATGTGGGAACATTTGGGCTCGTGCTCTTGACTCATCCTTGGCTGCTTACATCGAGAATACCGTCTACAACGAGGCTCCCGAGTTAAGGTTCTGTGTCGACAGGCCTGAAAACAACGTACGTATTTCAACGTATTTCGACCTGCAGCTCAAAATATTCCCGGGGTTTCGTTGGAGGTGTAGAAAGACAAAGGCAATAGAAATACTTTATTTTGATAGTTGCCGATCAAAGCACATAAACGAAGGTTTAGTTTAATAATAATAGGTAACGCGCTGCAAAAGTCTTATTGCCGCACGATTTTCACAATTATTCAGGTTATGTTTTCCAGATTGAGGCTGCAAGATACCATTGAGATTTCCTGCCCAAACAGCTTTTGCATTGTTTCATTGGGCAAAATGTAAAAAAAAAAAAAAAAAATCCGAACAGAAAAGTTTGTATTCATGCCATTGTTTTTTTCTTTTTAACTGGTTTTTAATTTGCAGCGAAACTGAGCGCACTGAACTTCGTAACTCAATGAAACTTTTCTTTTCTCGAATTTCGCTTTACTTTAAAAGTTATAGGCGAATTAGAATGACAAAAGCAAGCAAAAAAATGACCTCCTACATGACCGTCCCTGGTTGATTGCGTGAACTAGAGGAGGGGTAGTGGGCTCAGCGAGCGCTCACGGCTTCCGCACTCCGTGTCGACGGCTCGAGAGGGCAGCCTATCCAGGACACTAAAGCATGTTCTGGATAGGCTGTATGAGACGGGCAGCCAGGGCGGCTCCCATTGCATTTGTAGCTCGATTAAACACTTATTCGGTATGACACTTCATTGGCCACAAACGACAGCAAACATGGGGTAAGGATAAGTTCAGAATGGGAGCCACTTCGCGCTGGCATACGCCAAAGGGCCAAACCGGAAGCCGAAGCTGCTCGCCGAAGGCCTTCGGAACGCTCGAAACCGGTCGGATACCGGATCCTCGACTGCAGCGCTGCCACGTACATCCGGGACCTTACTACGCTCGCCGCTCGTCGGTGTCTGATCCCACTAGACATTTCTAGTACGCACCGCCTTTTTTACCGCTTGGTGGCAGGTATGCCACCGGGTCATTTCTTGTTTCCGAAAAAACTATAAACTGCATTTGTTTGGTTTCTGAAATAAAATACTGAGCAAAATCTACTTTTATAAACAATTGAAACGGCTCGAAACACTTATATTTTGTATTTCGACTAAAAAGAAGCAAAGACGTCACTTTTCGCGCGCTTTCGACACCGCAAGGCGCCCCCGTAGGTGGAGGAGGTTTCCGTGTCGTCAGGTTAATATATGACGCACTGCTATTTAGTGACTCTCTCCATGCTTGATGGCTTGCCCGAACCCCAAGAGTCGTGGAAACAGCAAAAAAGGTAGACGCTTAAATATGATTGCAGGGCGCCTTTAAGCATCCCAGAACTTAAAATCGATGGGCGGTAAGTTTGGTTTACGCATGGCGTTTAGCATAAATATTAACTTCGAACATATGACTTCATTCGCTTCAGCTAAAAGAGGTTACATGAAGAAGCACAGGGACAAGTATGTCACCTCTGTTTCCGGTGTAGACTACAAACTCCCGTTTGATTGTGGGTTATGCTACATAGGTCAAACAAAAAGCTGCATTTATGATAAGCTGGGCAAACATAACACCCCCCCCCCCCCCCCCCCCCCCCGGATGTGTGAAAAACAAAAACTCGTACTCGGGCGTTTCTGAGAACCTTCAGGCGTGTAATAATGGCGTACCGTTATGGAACTCAACGACCACATTATTAACAAAAAAATTTGTGACGACAGTCGCCTGTTGAAGGGATCAATCACAATTACCAAACATGGAAATGCTGTAAATAAGCCGCCATTGTCTTTGAAAGCAGAATAAAAGCAGTTTATGATTCTCTATTTTTAGTACTGTGTGATAATCTTTTCGTAGTAATCTTTGAAGATTGCAAGGTTACCGTATGAGCTCTTTTCATTCACGGTGACAGCAACACAAATGCAACATGAAAGGTGCAAATACACTAGTATATACAAAATATGCAACGCAATAATAAAGCTTTAAAGTAAAAGCCATTGAAGCCAATAAACCCCATTAAAAGCTAATTAACATGATTTAATAAATACATTTTCGATTGTTTCCTGAAGGACTGCAAAAGGATGTAAGTTCCAATATATCAAATACGTGAGGATAAACATTCAGGACCTAAATAAAGATATAAAAATAAAATTTACAAGACGCTGATTGGCGTCAAGCCATTTCGAAAGATTTTTTTTAATACATTTATGACAAAAACCAGATATAATATTGTGGGGATCGTGGCCACGAGGGGACCGGAAATGGGCCTGCGGGGCCCCAGTGAGAAGAAGAGGACGGCTCGAAGCAGAGCTCGGTCAGCGAGCTTGCGTATGGTCGGCGACGGAACGGTAAAGGACAAGGCGCTGCCT